GAAAATTGGGCGACAAATCGCTTATCAAAAAAAGGGGGATGCTATTCCAGGGGGATACTATGCAGTGCTATACGGTACATGAATTTTTATGTGCCCAACTAATTTGGAAATGATCATACTGTTTATATTATTTCGTATTTGACATATAAATTCTAAAAAAATTGGCGTTAAGGTTAGGGCTAGTGGAAGGATGGTTTATGAAAATGGCATTTATACCAAAATTTTGCAAGGAATTTGGGTTTATGGTCAAATTTTCAAGATGCAAACGATTTTGGAAAACGTTTGTTTTTTTTGAATTTTAAGGTTACATACTGACTGACCGTTGGTAAAAATTCCATATGGATTGAAGCATAATTTCCAAATCGGGCGGAGGTAAATAGATGCACCCGAAAATAAATCATCAAAAATTGAACTCGCTGATTGGCTTTTCCTCTTTAGGGTTGTATCACTCGCGAAAATTAGAGTTTGGATACAAGATCCCAAAAAAGGGCACAATGGCCCCTAACCAAATATCACCAAACAATTCTAATTTCCCGAATAACCCCAATTATTAAATTACCTACTCGATTCTGACTCATTCGAACTCACTGGTTAAAAATTATTTTAACTAAATAATACCTTGTAAATATAGTACAAATTATAATTTAATTACTGGGTAATATCTGTATTTAAATATATTTACTAGTAAATATATTTAAATACAGATATATATTATTTAGTTACAATATAATTTTTTTTACCAGTGACTGATTCTTATACAACTCATAATTTTTGAACTATTCAATTTTATTATTTTGGGGTTCATAATAAACAATCATACATTTTATTGGATATACGTATTATTTATATTATTATTTTCACTATAAACTAAATTCGCCTGCGGCATACTTACGTACGTATTGCATATGAATGTCGCCGAATGAAAACCCGGAAATCTAAAAATAGATCACTTATGAAATTCATGAATGATCTATTTTTAGATCTCCGGGTTTTCATTTGGATTCTGCCTGGAACGTATAAAAGCTATAATGGGTTACGCTGATGATATCACATAACCATTTTGGCCGTCAGCCAATCGACAATAAAATATTAAAGGAATTATAAAAAAAGTCATTGCGATTTCTTATTATAGTACTGGAAACCTATACTTAGATCACGTGACTTCATAATTTTTCAAATAAAAACGTTTAAAACTGGCTAGTAATTTTATAGAACAGTTATCTCCACAAAGTCACCTATCAGTGTTAAAAAAATCTGCATAAAAGTTTAACCGATTTGAAAATATTTTATTAATAATGTATAATCCTGGCATAACGCGAAATTTAAAACTTTCAACTTGTCATAAGTAAAGGTTTGAAAATCTGACCAGTAGCATTGTTCATTGTAATAAGCTCTACAAGAATTACCAGGCAATTAAAATGTTGCTTCTATAAAACTATAAAAGTTGATGCGCTCGAGACATTGGTCACGTGACCACACAGTGATTTTTGTCGAAAATTCTACTAAAATAATTTACAGCATGATTAACATGTCATTATCATTCGAAAAGCCGATTTTTTTATTACGTAATAACGAACGTCTTTGTTAATAATTATTAATAGATAAACAAACGAATAACATGAACGAAATAAGGAAAGCGAAAAACGAAAAATAGTGCCTACAAATATGCTACCAAGCGATAACGAATCGTACTAACAAAAAAAAAAGCGATAAAAATTTTATGCTCGGATAAAATTTAAATTTTCTAATACAAAAAAAACGAACGGAACTTTTTACATCGAATAAAATATAAAATCCGTCAATAAAAACACGAACGGAACTTTCTACATCGAATAAAATATAAAATCCGAATTTGCTAATCTATGTCTAATAAGTTTATTACGTTTGTTTATACCTACTTATTTACAGTATTTCCATTTTTTTTTTTGTAATTTAATTAATAGCAGTGAGTACAATCGATATACTTATCAAACAACACCTCAATTTCATCTTTAAATTCGGCATCTTTAACTTCAGCATCTATAACTTCTTCGGGATCTTTAATATCATCAGAATCTTTATCTTCATCGGATGAGGAGATCTCTTCAAAGGTTGCTTGTGTATATTTGTTTTTTCTTGGGTTATATACATAATCTGGATATGTTGTTTTATGTTTTTTATTGGCAACTTCTGCTAAAATGGTAAAAAATTGCCTCACTTCTGCCGATTGAGAATCCCAAGCTTCACTTGCTTCTCTAGAAAATTTTCGCGTTGTAATTGATTCTTTCCTTGCACGTGCATTATAGTCCTTCCGGAACAAAATAAACTTATTTTGCGCCCGGGGTGGTTTTTTTTATTTTTTTGCTCCCGTGGAGCAAGAAGTTCTTCTAACGATAGAGTGAGTGTATAGGGTGGATTTTTCATTATTTCTTTTAGTAAAATTTCAGGATCCGTTTGGATAGATCCAGGGGAACGTGACGGATTTACGAAAACTATTTTAGACATAGACATTTTGCATACTGTAATTGACCCGTTTTTTTGGGCGTTGCGAAAAATGAGGTGTTTATTTATAGAGAAAATGATAATATCAGTGTAGTAAAAAATCCTATAATTCGACAACAAAATAATTAATTGCTGTATTGGTACTTTTAACAATTAATTCTTTAATATGAACATGCATTCGACTCTAACTTGTAAGATACATAATTAAAGCCTTCTTTGCCAATTTTTCAATTTTTTGATAATGCATATATTTTGTTTGATTTTTTTTCTTTGTTCACCGTTCTCATAAAACTATCATACGGATTTATTCCATAATAGCGAAGGAATTTTTAACGCAGCATGAACGCACAAATTAATTTCATGCATAAATTTCAGTGGCTTTGCCATCGGACGGACCAGATGACTTCTCCGTCTAAAATCCCGACTTAATATCTTAACGTATTTAAATTAGTTTGATCGTCAATCCTTGTTGTCAAATTTTGTTAAAAGATTTATAATTGAAATACTTTCTTCCGAGCTCCGGATCGGTGAATACTGGGTAACTTTTTTTTTGATTAGTCAATTATTTACAATTGCATTTATACGGTTTAGTTTTTTTATTTCAAAAGTGAAAAATAAAATTAAGACTGTCTCTATATTCAATAAAACGCCAACAGTTATTATACCAAATAATTCAAAAAGATCTACAATCGAGGAGTACTTTGTTTAAGATGAATTTCTGCGTATATTATATTATTATATAATACAAAAGGTCTACAACTTTGCTTATAAGATGAACTTCTCGTATATTATTTATATAATTATTTCGTTGTTAAATATATTTGACTTAGCGAAAAAATTAACAAAGCAAACTTCTCTAAACATGAGTCGTATAAAGGCGTGTGCGTTAACTAACCAATCTTAAAAAATCACATGATAGCACCTGACCAAACCCATTTTCAAATTTCCTTATTTGGATGATCTACATAAATTAACCAATCAAATTGGGTGTTCTACATAAACTAGCCAATCAAATCGTAAATTTTACGAAGAACAAACAACTCAATTCTAAATTTCTCTTGGGCACTAAAAATGTCAGTAGTGCAATTTTACCTATAACTCTTGCTTAAGCTCTAACCTCTGAACAACCCTAACCCTAATTTCAATTGCTTCGTTTTAGCACCCTTCTAAATAAGGAAATTGAAAAATGGGTCGGTAAATTGGACTTAGAACCCTAGCATCACTCATAGGAAGAAGTTTGTTTGATTGGCTGATGTAAATCAATTGTCCGGGTAACTTATTTATATTTTTAATGTACTTTTTGAGAACGTGACGTTTCACTAACAAAAAATCACCGCAAATATCATTAATAGTTTTAGAAAAGCGCCTTCGTTCACTGTGCAAAAGAATCCCAAAACTAAAAAAAAATAAAAAACTTTACTTAGGAGACAAAATATACCTAACGTTTATTGGACCATATCAAACTATACTGTGGAATGAGGTAACTGGAAGCGTTTTTGTTCAAGATTGCCTTGTTATGTTAGATTTAAATAAACTTCTATTACTGACTATTAGTTAGTTTGAATAGAAATAAGCTTATAATAAAGGAAAGTTCGGGTTTAATACTTGAATATGTTCGGTTCTTCAATGTGTTTGGGTTTGTCAATCGTAATAAATTTCGGTTTATAGATTAATATTGTATTAATAATAAATACCGCTCTTACCCTATTTTACGTATGTCTATCTATGCTTTACTTGTATGAGATTAATTAATTCTTTTGTATTTATAATTTATAAGCTTCTTTATATGAAGTTTCTTTCGTTTCTTAAAACGATAAATATTTTATTTGATTGGTTTATTATCACGGGTGATCATATGTAGATCAATAAAAATTAGCCAATCTGACGAACTTCTTCCTTTGATAGCATCACTAGGGATGGACAGATCGAGCATTTTTGAATCCACTGCGCGAGATGGACTGCACAGGCTGCGGCATTATGCAAGATGGCCAGAATTATGTCAACTAGCAAGAATTTTAAAGATCTCATTGCGCAATCTCTCAAAAATTCTGCACAGCATGCAGTGAAAAATGCGCAGGCTGTGCAGTGGCCTACCACCAACCGCGTAGAAAGCCTTTATTTGATTAGCCAATTTATTTCTATATAAATACTGTATTTACCAATAAAATTAATCAAAATACTTAATATACATATAAACAAAGTTGTATATATTTGATTTGAAACCCTTTCTAATTTCCATGTTTAAAAATATTTAATTATGTTTACACTTGTATATAAAAACATATTGTGTTCAAAAGTAGATAAAAAATCAAGCAGATGAAATTATATGTAACTTCATGATTCGGACTGTTGAATAGCTGCTTCCGTAATTCTGATTAAATAATCTGATTTATTGTAGTCGTTTCAAAAAAACCGAGCCCTACGTACGTACGTAATAATAAGTGATAAAATTAAGGTAGATATCAAATTGCCTCATCCTAAAAGGAAAGAATTGACAATATATGCTATTAATAAAGCAAATGTCTGATTTTAAAGTTGGTGGTAAAATACATGGCTGGTGTAATAAATTAATGTTTCAAGTTATTCACGTAGTGTAAATCCATTATACACATATATACAAATTATATGTGTATTGAATTCTTTGTTACAATGTTATTTATTTTTATTTTTATTTTATTTTATTGTTTTTTTTTAGTTCGGTAAGTGATCTGGTTTACATTTGACAATCTGTAATGCAGCTCCTTATTTTACAAAATAGTTGATCAAAGTTAAACCATGATTTGATTTATGCATGCACACATACATGAATGCTGGATTTCGGAAAAACATATAAAGGTTAAACAATCACGGCCGATGATAATCTGATGCTCGGAATTAAATGGATGCTTCAAATTTATACTGTTTTAAGTAGCGATAAGTGCACTTACTTTATTAGTAATGATAAACGTCAAATGGTAATATCATTCTTATTTCTGCAATTCATGATACCATCAAGATTTAAGAATATTTGCAATATTATGATATTCATAAACGTTCAAGATTATGCAGACGTGATGTCGGAATTTATTAACTTGTTCCCCAGAAGTTTTTTTAAAAAATTAATATAAAGTTTTTAAATTTATTCAAATCTGTTCATCAAAACCGTTCTTACTGTATGCACGGAAATTATGTTCCATTCCTTTAATGTCGGATAAGCGGGAAATTACTTCCATTTATCTTTAAAGAAAACGGAAATATAGGTTACAATTATGTTATTAAGATCCAAATATTCACTCTTATTAGCTCTTATTCACTCTTAATCGTTCTTATTCACTCTTATTTTGACTTGCTGAATGATGAATTTAGAAAGTTCATACGTATGAAGTAATGATTAACTGACATCATTTCGCATTAATGAAATAAATAGTTGTTTTATATGTGGTTTTTTATTTCCGGGACAGTATAACTTAAAATTTCACAGTTGTACCGTTCACGTATTAAGACCACTTACCGTGCCCGCGTTGTTAAAGAAAATTTTAATATAAAAGGAGATAAGGATGAATCTTGCCATCGACCGAGAGCAGGCAAACATCAAATATCGCAATAAAATACCTGATATCCGTATTATTTATTTGTAAATCTCGAAATATCTTGGTTAAATAGATATCTTAACGTTACTATCTTTAATCTTCAGAATTTATCTATTCCTTTTCATGACGCAATTTCATTTCATTCACGACACCTTATCATTCCTTTCTTTTCTAACACTTCAGAACGACCATGATTCTAACTTCGCGCAGCAAATCGCGAACCCACCTTATCGTCTTGTTATATCCTTAGATCTTTTGTTGGCACCAAGTCGCAAAGGTCCAACTCCGAGGCCTCAAAATTCCTTTCTTTTATTCAGAAAAGATTATAACATGAGAATGCGCCTTCGAAATCACAATAAACCAGACAAATTAAATACAAAAATGATTTCGGAGAATGCCAAACTTGAATGGAGTCGACAACCTCCAAATGTGAAAAATTTTTTCAAAGTTTTGGCCAAAGAGGCTGATAGACGGCACAAACAACTATTTCCCAATTATAAATATCAGCCCAAATGTAAACCAAAGGATAATGATAGTATCGCTCCGAATACTGACATTATTGAACAATATTTTGACATCCAGAGGTACTATAATGATTTAAAAAAATAGTTACCCATTTTTTCGTACCCATTATAAAGTTATCGTTTTAATTCGAAATATTACGAACGTTTTCACGCTATATATGTATCAAGAACATTGTCATATGTTTTTATGTTATTATTTATATATGAACATATATATTAGAACATAAATCGTTTCAATGAAAGCTTTCATTTTCTCCGCGATTTTTATTTTTGGTCTTTACGTTGTAGAATTTTTATTACAATAGCTAGCTATATTATGTATAAATTGTCAAAGATATATGATATGTTAAAAATTTTATTTAAGTTTGAAAAAAATTTTTTTTTAATAAAAATGGGTAATTATTTTTGAATCCAGACCAAAATGTTATTACGTCATATATAAAATTGGTCCGGGTTCAAAAATACTTACCTAAATATATGGTAAAAATAAATTTATGTGGCGACCTGTCGCACAGCGACCTTATGATCGTCCAATCATTTTTTGAGATTAGCGATCATATAAAATTTTTTTTAATGTGTTACTGATTTCTTTTCAAAAGTAATTTTCGCGTTGTTTTAGTCGCTCCTAGTTGTATCCTTTTTTTGGCCTTTTTATTTTGGTTGCTTGCTCGTTTTTTGCACACTTTCTTGAGCTTGTTGCATGCTTGTTTTTTTGTATTCTATGCTTCTTTGCTCTCTTGCGCCTCTTTTTGTTTGCTTTTTAATTGCTTGCGTTTTTGCTTCTTATGTTTATTTTTTTGTATGCTTTCTTGTTTCTTTGCTTGCTTCCTGTTTTGCTTGATTCGCTTTCATGCTTTTTGCTTGGTCACTTTTTCTTTTTGCTTGTTTGTCTGCTTTCATGCTTTCCTGCTTATTAGCTCGCTTTTGCCCAGATGTGATTTCGCCGTTGGAGTCGTCGCTATTGGAATTATTTGCGCCGTCGTCTTCATGTAAGTTTTTCGTTTTTAATCGTTACTTTTTTCTTCTATGTTTACTAACGCTTCTCTTCTCCGTGTGTGATTTCGCCGTTGGAGTCATCGCATTGGAATTATTGGCGCAGTCATCGTCGGTTTTCGTGTTGCTTCTAACTTTTCCTTCATCCAGGTGTGATTTCGTCGTTGGAATCACCGCGCTGTTGACGTTTTCGTTGTGAGTTGCATTGTTGTTTTTGTTAGATTTCTATATATGTTAAATTAGTTTAGTAGGTTTTTCATTAGTATGGCTATGTAAGTTACGAGTTGTTGTGAATTGCCGCAGTGGTTATATTTGCATTATCATTTTTTTTTTAATAATACGATTTCATCATTCGTTACGCTCATGTTTTTTTCCTTATTTTAATAATAAAAACCCAAATTTTTTAAAAAAACAACTGCACGTGATCGATTTTGATTGGTTAATCACAGGGTCGCTATTAAATAACGGCCAAATATATATATGTATACATATTATATGATGGCAAATGTAATTTTCCAACGGAAAGCATTTTGGGTTCGCGCTTGCATGTATCACATGAGATCATTGGCTACAGTCCGCTATAAAGATCACTTAACAAAATTCATTTTTTATTAAGATTGCAGCGAGCCAGTTAAATTCCGCAAAGCTGTCTTTATTTTTAACACGGTGTAACAATGTATGAGGTAATTGGCGTTAATTTTGTGATTTAGATCAGGTGAACGGAACATATTATCCGAAATGAACTTTCTTCAAACTATAATAGCTTTATTCGCGATTATATACCAGAAAGGGAGTGAACACAATATTTTGAGCATATTTAATTATTTCTAATAATAACGCACATAGTTAACCAAATAGATTTATTTCTAACTATTTTAACAAGTGCATTTTAATTAAAAAATGGTTCAAAATCTCAACTATTTAAGGTTAAGAAGTCTTGACGATTTAAGATCAAGATAACGTGCAAAATCTGTTATTAATACAGTATCTCAAAGTCTTACACATACAGTACACGTTTTAATAACATTATTCAGCAGTTTACTAAAGTTTACAACAAGAGTGCTTGTTAAAAAACCGATCGTATTCATAACTATATAAGGCCATTAATAATTGACTTGAAGCATTTCAAATTTTTATTTCCTCAGATGAGCCAATCTTTCGTCATTCTAAAAATTTACATAACAGGTCATTAAAATAACAATTAATTTGAAACATAACACATAAATTCATGTAAGAACAAAAATAAATTTGACATTTTAACACAAAAAAGAGAATCAAAGGAATTTGTAATATGGCGCAATTTAACTAAGGTAAAGCAAAGAAAAGTGTAACGTTAAATTGGTAAAATAAATAAGGTGGTCGAAAGACTTGAGACTGTAAATACAATATAATTATGCATCTGCTTTTGGCTCTTTTTGAATACGGAGCACGAATACCGACAAATTCTCTACATGTTAATCTTAAATGCCGATTAAATTTTAAATATCGATCTCAAAAGGACTAGCTTCTCCGTAGACGCGATATTTCGTACGCTTAACCATTTCGAGAACAGTAAAAGCGAAGTTACGTAGATATTATTAGACTCTGTATTGTGATAATTCTGAAAAATATCGGGGTTACAGTTGTAATGCACCGAGATGTGTATCATGATATAAACTTTCAGGCATGGACAAATGAGTATTTAATTCTAGGAAAACAGGTATTGTTAGATATTCGGAGCGTAGTTAAAAGTAAATATATTGATTGACATAGTTGATAAATTGATAATCATCCGTCTAAAAATAGGTGCGGACATAAACACACAAAATCTGGTCTATTACCTCCCCATAATATCCTCTGCTACGCTTCGGATAAATAGTACTGTATTTGAAGGAAATGACTAAGAAAAAATAGTCCGAAAATAAATAGATTTTTGAGATAATGTTACAGGAATGAACAAGGGATCTTTGTTTTTATGTATCACATCATGCAGATTTTACTTATTTTCGCAAGTAATACAAACCCAAAAAAGAAAACTGAATATGAAAATAAAGTACGTGAAGATAAAAATTTAAGGTTAAGGCGTTAGTTTAGAGGATATAAGAATAGAATATCGCCTCCTATATGTAAATTTTGTTCACGACATTTAATTAGTGCATAAAAGTCGGTTTAAACTTTAGTTTTTGAGTATTTTCTTTCACACTGTCTATCCAAAAATTGAACTCGCTGATTGGCTGTTTCATTTTAAGGTTTGTATTACTTGCTGTCGACATGCATGCATTTTTATTCCCAAAAAGGGTACAATTGGCCCTAACCAATCACTGGATAATAATTCTAATTTCCCGAATTTTCTGAATCATCAAATTGCCTATTCGATTCTGACTCATTCGAACTGATTCTCATACAACTCATAATGTTTAAACTAGAGTTGCCGGTAAAACTAATTCATGCTGGTGAAATTGGGGACTATCTAAAATCTGATTGGCTATTGAATTTAGTAGCCAATCAGATTTTAGATAGTCTCCAGTTTCACCAGCACAATTTAGTTTCACCAGTAACTCTAGTCTAAACTATTCAATTTTATTCTGTTAGATTTTCGTAATAAATCTTAATATATGCTAACGGGAGGAGATCCGTATTATTTCACCGACAATCACTTACCGACAGCTCATTTAGCCGACATCACGCCGGGTGAAATTTAGTAAAATATTTACCTGCAACTAATCAAATGTTTAACCCTAACCCTATGTGATGTCAGCTAAATGAGCATTCGGTGAAATGACTGTCGGTGAGTTGATCGGAGTCGATATTATTTACACTATTACTTACATTAATAATAACAATAACATGAATATAAACTAAATTGGGTGCTATTACTAAATAAAATTGTCTGTGGCAGATTTACGTACATATTGCATATAAACTCCAATGTTTATTGGCGTTTGGAATAGGGATTGGGACCGTTATTCATTATACGGTTAAACGAGTAAAGGTTTTAAAAAACGGTTAAAAACCGTTAAATTATTCGCTTAATCGGTTTAAAATTTTATACGATTAATCGCGATTAATCGTATAAAACTTTAAACCGATAGTTCCAACCCCTAAATTTATTTACCTTAATTCTCGATTTTAGTAGTCGTTTGTCGTTCCAATTCTGTACCTACAAAAGAAGGAAATAAGGTATCTATTTATTCATAATTAACCTACTTTTTCTTACCGTTACCATTCGTCGTTCCTACAAAAAAGAAGAATTTGAAAGGTGAGTCTTTTTTTTAAAAAAAAATAAGTCTTTATTTATTTATTTATTTTTATAATTTATTTACTTTCATTATTGTCATCGATTTCGAACCTATAAAAAGAAGAATTTGAAAAATGTGTTTTTATTTCTTTTTTAAAAATATCGCTTCCGTAATTTTCCTCAAATGTTAAGTTTACGGCTAATCATATCGATATCTGATATTACATACGTACGTAACTATTGTGGCAGCCGTAAATGGAAAGATTAGCTTCCATGATTATCGCGGTTCTCCAAGAAACATGATTTTTTCAAAATAAATAAAATCAACAAGATCCTATTTTTTATATAGAGAAGATAATAGTTATAAGATTAAAATAGCTAATATAATAATAATAAATGATTTCTATTTTCCTCGACATCATTCTCGTATGCAATAATATTATATATAAAAACAATGTGAATTTACGGTAAATAAAGGATAAGATTTGAACGTGCTCGAATAAAGAGCTGAAGTAATTGCATAAAGTACTTTAGTCAACCATTATCAAATGATCTACCAAATGTGATTAAAGTACCATTAAGTGATAAAACCCCAATCCCGTGATCCGCGCGATCTGAAATTGAATAGAGACCCTAAAGTATCGTAATCGAAAACTTATCTAAATAGTGAGAATAAGAAATAAACAGACTTCACAATATAAAAATAGCCGAAACACTCAACAGAATAATAAAATTCTGCGCATCAATTAGAGATAAGCTTTATTCTTTTTATTTTAGTTTGAAGTTATAAGCACAGAAATTGATACTAAATTCCTCAAGACCTTTTTTTTTTCTTCTTTATCACGTTCTCCTATCTAACTTTTTAAAATACGTCA